TTTATTTATTATTTTTATTTATTTTATTATTTCATTATTTATATTTATTTTATTTCCGGTCTAGTTTTTGGGTGGAAAGTGAGTCAAGATGCTTGGATAATTTTCTCTATGCTGTAGCTATTGTGCAGTTTGTAAGGGTCCCTTGTTAGATTGTACTTAAGGCGATGCTGGAAGGTCGGAAAAATTTGTACGAGGTCGATAAAGCAGACTCTTCAGTGTCAGTGGTATTTCTAAATGAACTTCTTACAATATCTTCTGTCTCACTCAAACACGTGGAATGTCCTTATCTAACTTACTGAAGTGCCATCTCTTGAAAAATCCGGCACTACTGCCAAACGTAATTTTTGCTGTCTTTACCTCAGCCGAACGTACGAATTACCACAAATTACAGTTCAGTGAATATCTTTATTTCTACGCTTTCAATCGTAGCTCAAAAGACTTTGTATTATTCGTTCATGTATACTGTGGTGTTAGACGCACGCATTTTGTACATATGAGCTACAGAACTTTTACACTAATGAAATGTTTATGTCAGGTTATGGTTAGGTGTCAGCTGTACGACCCGAAAAAAGGTAATTTTAAAATTTTTTCCGATTTTACTACAAATTCGACCGTCTAATACCACAATTTCATGTCTATTTTAACCCTGTGAAAGGATTTTCAATTCCGTTCAGCCAATTCGGAGAAATCTACTAAACTGTAATCGTCGGTATTTTCTACCTTCCAGCATCGCCTTAAGACAATCTTAAATATAAGAACCGACTATGAATACTGAGAGCACCTTCACTATGCGACGATCCTAAACGCGCGAATTTTTATCAGCCCGATTGAATGTCTCTAAACGCTTACCATTTGAAAATTATTGTAGCCTCAACATTTTGGTATTAAACTTTTCGTCTCTAAATGACTTCATGAATCTGTTATTAGCAGATGCTACGATAGTTATGGGACACCCTGTATACATATACAGGGTGTCCTCGTATAAGTGGCCACCCCTTTTTATTATATCTTGTAAACTAATAGAGGTAGACCTAATAAATATAATATTAAATTAAACGGCTCTGACTAAACTTTATTATGATCACTTAGAAATATTATCTATGTTAAAGAACGGAAAGACACGATTAATTTTTGCACGGTAAGATGATAATTTTAATATGATAAAAGTTGTACCGTTCTTTTTAACGAATACAACGATGTATAATATAACGAAATTATTTTACGAATTATAAGAGTTATTTTGGTTTAAAATTTTGCGGGCAGCTACTACCTTTTCAATTTCGACCCTGCGATGTGGCCAACTTCTGA